TTTATGTTATTGAGCAAGTCTTTCATTTTTTACCAAAGTATATTGAATATAATTTAACACCTATCTGGGCTAAGTGTAAAGAGCACAAAAAACCACCATAGAATGAAGACCGAGAGGGCCGAAGTTGGAGAAGTGCGTGAAGGTCCCAATTTTGATTCCATCCGATTGACCCATGGTTGCGGACCACCTGTGCTGTCTTTCCCTCCACATGGCGCACCCAGCCCAACCATGGGTCTTCCTCAATTTCCTCCAGAACGTGATCGATTTTTGGATGCAGTTAAGGGTTTGTGCGAATTGGTGCCCACGATGTGTAAGATAAGGTGAGGCTAAGGCTGTTGGTCGTTGTGTGGTTGGTTGTTGTTGGTGGGCGTGGTAGCTATTGGTGGTTTTTCTGGTAAGTGTGGTACTGGAAGATGGAGGTGGCAAGTTGAGAAGAACGATCAGAGTGAATGGCAGGTTAGAGAGAGATGTGAATAAGTAAGGTTTGGGTTAATTTCGGTTGCCTATATTTAAAAAAATACAAAAGTTTTCGCAACGTTTAAAAATCGTTGGACATTTGTCAAACGTTGCAAAATGTCTCACCTTGCGAAATGTGAGACCTTTCGTAACGTTTTTCAGACGTTGCGAAATGTGAAACATTCTGCAACACTCAGTAAACATTGCAAAAAGGGATCTATCGCAACATTCTTCTAAAAAATGTTGCAAAAGGCATTTATTAATATCAATTGCAACATTTACTTACTAAAATGTTGCCAAAAGACCCTTTTAGCAACATTTATCAACAAATGTTGCATTTTTAGTGTTGCAAATGACTATTTTTGTTGTACTGGGCGGAATTTAGTCATGGAAGGACACTGATGGGACGAGTGCTCAATGCTTTAAAAGCCTCTCTTGTTTCAAAGACACGACACTAAGACAGTCTTGTGTTTATCAATACACATATTATGTGTGCAGTACATGCACAATGATGACTATTTATTACCTTCGCCAGAGGCGAAGTGAATCACAGCGTGCTTAGCAC